TGGTTGGAGTTTTTTTGAGATCACTACATATAACACCATCCATCATCACTACATATAACACCATCCATCATCACTACATATAACATCCATCATCACTACATATAACACCATCCATCATCACTATAACACCATCCATCATCACTACACATAACACCATCCATCTACATATAACACCACCCATCATCACTACATATAACACCATCCATCATCACTACATATAACCATCCATCATCACTACATATAACACAATCCATCATCACTACATATAACACCACCCATCATCACTACATATAACGACATTCATCATCACTACATATAACATCATCCATCATAACATATAACACCATCCATCATCACTACATATAACACAATCCATCATCACTACATATAACATCATCCATCATCACTACATACAGTATAACATCATCCATCATAACATATAACACCATCCATCATCACTACATATAACACAATCCATCATCACTACATATAACACCACCCATCATCACTACATATAACGACATCCATCATCACTACATATAACATCATCCATCATCATCACTACATATAACACCATCCATCTACAGATCGGTAAAATACTTTCCCAGATTCTCGTGCGGACACACACACAAACAAACAAACACACAGACATACAGACATACTTCTTTGTTTTATATATATATATATAGATTAATCTCGTAATGATATTTAACACAAGATCAACAATGAATCATTACCTAAACTCTGACTCGTATCTTCTACAGTTTCATAGTAATTGGCATCATAACATAACTGTAAGGAACCCGGAGACATCACCTTACAGTACTTCATGGTTGAGAAATTCTATATTGATTTTCTCGATACGTTGGTAATAATACATTGAACCATTAAAAAATATTCTTATTACATTATGAGGGAATTGTTTGATTAGAATTTGTTAATAAGAGATTGTAAATTAGTTTCAAATATATTAAACGAGTAAGAAACATCGGACAACTAGTACAAACGGGACTCATATGTACATCATTACATATATACTTCTTACTATTTATTTCCTATGTGCTATTATGTGAAAAATATAAAGTTTTTTTTAACACGAGTTACTAGATACGTCTGAACACTGTGGTCACCTCACAAGAGTAAACACACGAAATACCTATTATAGATGAATAAATAAACCTTATAAAGTTTATGTGGTAGAGGCGTCGCGACAACACGGCTGACCACCACAGTTCAGCTGGCCTGGAGTTCAATGCCGATGTTGTGTGGGACGTTTCTTTTTTTTTAAGTTAAAGTTTAAGTTGTTGACCATCTATACTGTTTTCACCTATATGAAGGATGATGACTTTTCACTTAATTACCAGTATCTTGTAGCCCAAATGGGTAGTGGGTGACGTGGGTAGTGTGTGTGGGTGGCGTGTGGTGGTGTGGATGGTAGGTGGGAGAAATACTAGATAGATGGTGGACGAAGGGTGGGTGGCCGGGAACTCTAGACAGGTGGTGGGTGGACAGGTAATGGGTGGCGGGAATCCTGTACAGCTGATGGACGGGCAGCGAGGATTCTGGGTGTGTTGATTTTTTTAATTTTTGCCGCTGACAGCAGCTAGTTTATTGTGCACCCATATTCATCCTGTGAGCGGTAGAGCAATAGGATTACAGAGTAGAGATCACAGAGGGTGTGTATAACAGTCCCCAGTGGTCAGGATATTATGGCATTGAATGTTACACAGTATTTCAAATACATTCTTTGTTTAGTTCTATACATAAAGGGTAACTTATTCACAACTGTGTGAATACCGGAGTTTGAGGCAGTATGTCTGGTCGCACACTTTGTTATTGACATATGCATGCGAGGTATTCAAGCACATTGTGTGTTTGGTTCTATACACGGGAATTGACTTAGCTACTAAGTGCAAAAAAGTGGATACAATCTTAATGTGCCGGCTAAATAGTCATTAGAGACCAAGTGCTGTGTCATTCCACACACAGTGTGCTTGGACCTGTCCCTAAAAGGTTCAATCTTCACACAGTCGAGGACGTAGTGTGTGGCCATATGTCTGGCCACACACTTTACATTTAGTCATGTTCACATCTGCTTGAGGGACATGCTGCCAGAGGTACTTATACCCTAACCTTAGTCTAGCGGTAACAGCATCTTGTGATATCCTGCGTGGTGAGGAAGGTGTTGAGGGAGGTGAGGTGAGGTGAGGTGAGGGTGGTGAATAAGGGAAGGGAGACGTGGGCAGGATGTGTGTGGAAAGGTAAATGGGAGAGTTAAAAGGAATATGAGGGAGGAAAGGACAGGCGACGATGGTGAACGGGGGAAGTGGAGGGGAGGTGAGGGTGGAAGAGTGAAGGAGAAGGTCAGGAAGGAATGGGGAGGCTGTCTCGAGTCGAGTCGTGGAGTTAGATTACTTTCAACACTTCTAACTCAACTCCCTGACCTTTTACAGCTGGTGGATGGTGTCGAATATATTCTCTCTCTCTCTCTCTCTCTCTCTCTCTCTCTCTCTCTCTCTCTCTCTCTCTCTCTCTCTCTCTGTTGACATGTTTAATCTATTTTCACCTCAATGAGAGATAGATAGATAGATAAAGTGAGAGAGGAGATAGATAAATAAAGGGAGAGAAAAGTGTGTCTTCAACTCCCCTTCATTCTCTCACATTCTGGTTCCCTTTCCATGTTTTACTCTGGTCCATTTCTCTTCCTTTGTTTATAATTCTCATCTCTCTCTCTCTTCATCTTTCGTTTCGCCTTCTGTCCATCTCCCCATTCTCTTCCTCTCTGTTCTCTTCTTCCCTTCTACCTCTTTTTTTATTCATTTCCTTCTTCCTCCTTTCCCTTCCCTTTCTCCTCTTCCATCTCTCCTTTCTTACCTTTCCTCCCCTTCCTCCGTCCATTTCCCCCCTTCCATCACCTTCCTTCTCTCGTTTCATTATACTTTTCTTTGTCCTTCTCTCGTCGTCTCCTTCCCTTCCTCCTCCTCCTGTTCCTCACCTTTCCCTTTATTGTCTTTTACCTCTCCTTTCCTTCTCCTCCTCCTGTTCCCACCCTTCCCTTTATTGTCTTTTTACCTCTTCCTTCCTTACCTTTTTCCTTCCCATCATCATCATCATCTTTTTCCTTCTCATTTCTCTTCCCTCGCTCCTCCTCTTCCTCCTCCTCCTCCTTCACCCTCCTTCCTCCCTCCTCCTCCTTCCTTCCCTCCTCCTCCCCCCTTCACCCTCCTCCTCCTCCTCCTTCCTCCTCCTCCTCCTCCTCCCTCCTCCTCTTCTTCCCCTTCCTTCCTCCTCCTCTTTCCTCCTCCTCCACCGACGCTTCGTCTCCCCTGACATCTTGACTCTTGAAACTCCGACATCTTTACTTCCTGACATCCCGGCATCTTGACTCCTGACTTCCTGACATCCCCATACTCCGACACCCTGACTTCCTGACATCCCCATACTCCGACACCCTGACTTCCTGACATCCCCATACCCGACACCCCGACTTCCTGACATCCCCATACCCCGACACCCCCGACTTCCTGACATCCCCATACTCCGACACCCCGACTTGACATCCCCATACCCGACACCCCGACTTCCTGACATCCTCATACCCTGACAACCCCCTTGCCCTGACTCCTCTAAACATTCCCCTAACTCACATTCGTCCTCCTGACCTGACCCACTGACTCTGCCTCGACTCCACCGACTCTCCTCGGACCTGGAGTTACATGTGCCAGGTGGAGGGGAGAGTTAGGTCCTCTCCTCTGCTGTCAGTTTTATCCGCTGGGGAGTGGTGGTGGTGGTGGTGGTGCTCGGGTGTGGTAGACCGGTGGTGGTGTGGTGGTGGTGGGGTGGTGGTGGCGTCTGCTGGGTGTGATAAAACCAGGTGGTGGTGGAGTGTACAGTGGTGTTTGCTGGGTGGTAGACCAGGTGGTGGTGGTGTCTGCTGGACGTGGTAGACCAGGTGGTGCTGTTTGGTGGTGGTGTCTGCTGGGTGTGGTAGACCAGGTGGTGGTGGTGGTGTCTGTAGGTGTGGTACACCAGGTGGTGGTGGTGGTCTGAGGGTGTGGTAGACCAGGTGGTGGTGGTGGTGTCTAGGTGTGGTAGACCAGGTGGTGGTGGTGGTGTCTGCAGGTGTGGTAGACCAGGTGGAGGTGGTGTCTTTGGACGTGGTAAACCAGGTGGTGCTGTGTGGTGGTGTCTGCTGGGTGTGGTAGACCAGTGGTGGTGGTGGTGTCTGCTAGGTGTGGTAGACCAGGTGGTGGTGGTGTGGGGGTGGTAGCCAGGTAGGTGGGGTGGTGGTGGTGTGCCTGCTAGGTGGTAGACCAGGAAGGGTGGTGGTGGTGGTGGTGGTGTCTGCTAGGTGTAGACCAGGTAGTGGGCGGTGGTGGTGGTGGTGTCTGCTAGTGTGGTAGACCAGGTAGTGGTGGTGGTGTTCTGGGTGTGGTGGACCAGTAGTGGTGGTGGTGGTGGTGGTGGTGGTGGTGGTGGTGTAGTTCGCTAGGTGGGTAGACCAGGTAGTGGTGGTGGTGATGGTGGTGGTGGTGTTGATAGTGTAGACCAGGTAGTAAAACATCAGGAGGTGTTAGCCATTTAATAGGGTGGGTTGGGGAGGAGAAGGAATTAATAATACCTGGAATGGGAATAGTAATTAACTGTTCCTGATGATATTAATATTTTTGTTGATGATGTTATTTATTGGATGATGTGACGATTTATGATGATTGATGGAGGAAATAGATGGTGGAGGAAGTAGATGATGGAGGAGGTGGATGGTGAGGAAGTAGATGATAGAGGAGGTAGATGATGGAGGAGGTGGATGATGGAGGGGTGGATGTTAGCCTGGTAGACGATGGAAAAAACACCCACATGATATGTCTCCATCTTTATCTCCACTTCCTTCTTTCCGCTGTTTCTCTTTTCTCTTCGTCATTAGCATCCCCTCATTTTTTTCTTTCCTCATTTCCCCACTTCCCTGTTCACCTCCGCGCTGTTTTTTCTGTTCTCGGTGATCACCTCCTGTGTGTGTGTGTGTGTGTCCCTGGCTGTGTGTCCCGTGGCTGTTCCTCCTGGCTGGTTGGGTCCCCTGGCTGGTTGGGTCCTCCTGCTGGTTGGGTCCCCCTGGCTAGTCCTCCTGGCTGGTTGGGTCCTCCAAGGTTGGAGTCCCCCTGGCGTCCCCTGGCTGGTTGGGTCCCCCTGGTGTCTCCCTGGCTGGTTGGGTCCCTGGCTGTGGGTCCCCTGGCTGGTGTTGAGTTCCCTGGCTGGTTGAGTCTCCCTGGCTGGTTGGGTCCCCTGGCTGGTTGGGTCCCCCTGGCTGGTTGGGTCCTCCTGGCTGGTTGGGTCCCCTGGCTGGTTGGGTCCCCTGGCTGGTTGGGTCCCCCTGGCTGCTGGGTTCTCCTGGCTGTTGGGTCCCCCTGGCTGGTTGGAGTTCCCCCTGGCTGGTTGAGTTCCCTGGCTGGTTGGGTCCCCTGGCTGGTTGGGTCCCCTGGCTGTTGGGTCCCCTGGCTGGTTGGAGTCCCCTGGCTGGTTGGGTCCCCCTGGCTGGTTGGTCCCCTGGCTGGTTGGGTCCCCCTGGCTGGTTGGGTCCCCTGGCTGGTTGGGTCCCCCTGGCTGGTGGGTTCCCCTTGGCTGGTTGAGTCTCTGGCTGGTTGATCCCCTGTGGTTGAGTCCCCTGGCTGGTGGGTCCCCCTGGCTGGTTGGGTCCCCTGGCTGGTTGGGTCCTCCTGGCTGGTTGGGTCCCCTGGCTGGTTGGGTCCCCTGGCTGGTGGGTTCCTGGCTGGTTGGGTCCCATGGCTGGTTGAGTTCCCTGGTTGGGTCCCCTGGCTGTTGGGTCCCTGGCTGGTTGGGTCCCCCTGGCTGGTTGATCCCCCTGGTTGGGTCCCCTGGCTGGTTGGGTCCCCTGCGTTTGGTCCTCCTGGCTGGTTGGTCCCCTGCTGGTTGGGTCCCCCTCTGGTTGGGTCCGCCTGGCTGGTTAGTCCCCTTGGCTGGTTTAGTCCCCTGGCTGGTTGAGTCCCCTGGCTGGTTGGGTCCCCTGGCTGGTGGTCCCCCTCGTAGGTCCTCCTGGCTTGGTTGGGTCCCCCTGGCTGGTTGGGTCCTCCTGGCTGGTTGGGTCCTCCTGGCTGGTTGGGTCCCGGCTGGTTGGGTTCCGCTGGCTGGTTTGGAGTCCCCTGGCTGGTTGAGTCCCCTGGCTGGTTGGGTCCCCTGGCTGGTTGGGTCCCCTGGCTGGTTGGGTCCTCCTGGCTGGTTGGGTCCTCCTGGCTGGTTGGGTCCTCCCGGCTGGTTGGGTCCCCTGGCTGGTTGGGTCCTCCTGGTGGTTGAGTCCCCCTAGCTGGTTGGGTCCTCCTGGCTGGTTGGGTCCCCCTGGTTGGGTCCCTGGCTGGTGGGTCCTCCTGCGTTGGGTCCCCTGGCTGGTTGGGTCCCCTGGCTGGTTGGGTCCCCTGGCTGGTTGGGTTCCCTGGCTGGTTGAGTCCCCCTGGCTGGTTGGGTCCCCTGGCTGGTTGGGTCCTGGCTGGTTGGGTCCTGGCTGGTTGGGTCCCCTGGCTGGTTGGGTCCCCCTGGTTGGTTGGGTCCCCTGGTTGGTTGGGTCCTCCTGGCTGGTTGGGTCCTCGCTGTGGGTCCTCCCCTGGCTGGTTGGGTCCCCCTGGCAGTTGGGTCCCCCTGGCTGGAGTCCCCTGGCTGGTTGGTCCCCTGGCTGGTTGGGTCCCTGGCTGGTTGGGTCCCCTGGCTGGTTGAGTCCCTGGCTGGTTGAGTCCCTGGCTGGTTGAGTCCCCTGGCTGGTTGGGTTGATTACGGGCAGGATGAGTGGCTGGCGTCCTCCTCCATCTTATCCTACCAGATTTTTCCTCCTCCTCTTCTTCGTCCTTCACCTCCTCCCTTGTTACGGGCCGCCTCATTTCCCGTCTCGGGTAAAAGGATCTCTCTCTTGTAAGTAATTCAATTCAAATGACTAGTGATATCGGGCGGTCCGTCTTCCTGCACCCCGGGCTGACGTGTTCCTCCTCGGCTACCTCATTACCTACCCAGTCGCCCTCATTATCTACCCAGTCGCCCTCATTACCTACCCTGCTGCCCTCATTACCTACCCTGCTGCCCTCATTACCTACCCTGCCGCCCTCATTACCCACCCTGCCGCCCTCATTACCCGCCCAGCCGCCCTCACTACCTACACGTCCTCACCCAGCTTGCCTCCCTCACCTACACGTCCTCACCCAGGTTCAATCCTCGAACACATCCTCATTCCCCTTGAAAATGTAGATATCCTGTGAGGAAGCGACACTTCACCACCTCATTAACGAATCAGTACATGAGAGGAAGCCACTCTCTCATCTCCTGTGATTGACACCTCAGTGCACGAGGAAGCCACATTGTATATGACCCATTGCCCTGGCTAGACTCATCACTCCCCACCCTGTTCGTGGCAACCCAGGTCGACACATTGTTGCGTTTCATACGTCAACCACGGTTTAAGACACCCACAAAGACAATGACTTTCTTCTGCGGGAGGTGGGAGGAGGTCTTAGAGGGAGGAGGTCTTAGAGAGGGGAAAGAGAAAGGGGAGGTGAAGCTAGGGGAATTATTACTGTTACCATTTCCCTCTTCTTAGGTAAAAGGGGGCAATGTATATACAATAATGTGGTAGTGGTGATGGTTATGTTCCCCTCTTTGTTTCCCCCTCGTTTGTTTCCCCACACACATACACTGTTATTCATTATACCTGCCTCTAGCCTCATTAATTACACCTGCCACTAGCTATACCTGTCTTTCTGGTTCCCTATTAGTCCACCCCCACACACTGTTTTATTCTATGTCCTCTCCCTCCCTAATAGTTTTCTGCTCACCACATCCCTTTTACACCTCACCACACATCCCTCCACCTCACCACACATCCTTTACCTCTCACCACACATCCCTCATCTCACCACACATCATTCCCTCCCACCACACATCCCTCATCTCACCACACATCTCTCCCTCTCACCACACATCCTCACCTCACCACACATCCCTCACCTCACATCCCTCCTCACCACACATCTCTCCTCTCACATCCCTTCACCTCACCACACATCCCTCCTCTCACCACACATCCCTTCTCTCACCACATCCCTCCTCTCACCACATCCCTCCTCTCACACATCCCTCCTCTCACCCACATCCTCCTCTCACCACACATCCCTCTCCCTCCTCATCATTCCATATCTTATTCACCTTCCTGCTGTTTCCCTCACAGGCTCCTCTTCTCCCTACTTCTCCTACTTCTCTTCACCTCTACTATTCTTTCCTCACTTCTCTTCACCTCCCCACTTCTCTCCTCCTTCTCCTCTCCTCTACTATTCTCTCTCCTTCTCTTCACCTCTATTCTCTCCTCACTTCTCTTCCAACCTCTACTATTCTCTCCTCACTTCTCCTCCCCTCACCTACTCTGTCGTCTGGAACTCCTCACCTCCTGCCTAGCTCCGTCACAAGGCTCTTGGCTGGTGTGTGTGTGTGTGTGTGTGTGTGTGTGTGTGTGTGTGTGTGTGTGTGTGTGTGTGTGTGTGTGTGTGTGTGTGTGTGTGTGTGTGTGTGTGTGTGTGTGTGTTTGCCATTATCCACGAAAACTACGTTGGACTGGTCATGTTACCCGCATGGACGACAGTAGACTATCAAAGCAGCTACTTTACAGTCATCTAACGAATGGTAAACGTAACGCCAGCGGGGAACTGAAAAGGTATAAAGATAGTCTTAAGACAAACCTGAAAAAGTGCCAAATCGACCCCCTCACCTGGGACACTTGGAGGCTCATACAAGATGATGTCAATGCTTGAGTTAGCCGACTGCATAACGGGCAGACAAGCGCCAACGCCGGATGGACACTACCGCCCTCCGCACTAGTTGTAGCCTTCTGCTTCTGTGAACGACCCTGCCAGTCCCGTATCGGCCTCTTTAGTCACCTCAAAACTCACCAACCTAGGTTACAACTTTAATAACTCATATCATTATATCATAGCTGGATGATCGTCATACTCTATTCGGGTGACAGCAAAGTAGTAGTAGTAGTAGTAGTAGTGTGTGTGTGTGTGTGTGTGTGTGTGTGTGTGTGTGTGTGTGTGTGTGTGTGTGTGTGTGTGTGTGTGTAGTGCCTTGGTGCTCGTTGCCTCCCTGGTCTTAATTCACTCAGCTTCCTATTCAACCGTGTGATAGTCTCTCTCTCTCTCTCTCCTCTCTCTCTCTTATATATTTGTTCTATATTTTTTCTCCTTTCTCTTATTTCTTTCTCTCTCTCTCAATCTCTTTTATCTTTTATTTAAATATCTTTTCTCCTTTGCCTTATATCTCTTCATCTCTCTACTCACACCCCCCCCTCAAGTCTACCCCCCTCAAGTCTACCCCCCTCAAGTCTCCTTAAGTCTTCCCTTACAGAGGTAATTTGACTTTGGTGCTCAAGTAAAGCCGTGATGATACTGAGGGTCTTCACTTCTCTAGCCTCCACCGCCCTGTTGGATTCCTCCGTTCTCTTCTTCTTTCTTTCTTCTTCTTCTTCTTCTTCTCTTCTTCTTCTTCTTCTTCTTCTTCTTCTTCTTCTTCTTCTTCTGGAGATGAACAGAGGAGCGTCTTTAGTTACGATACAGTCCAGGGTGGATTATTGATGCCATTTTGACTTCTCTTCGTTTCATAATAATTTCTCTTATCTTCTCTCTTCTGTCCTCTCTCTTTCTCTTTCGTCGTCTCTCTATTTTCTCTTACCGCTCTTTTTCCCTCTCTATCTCTCCACCGTCTGGTCTAGTCCTTCTGTCTCCCACCTCCTCTTTTCTACATCTCTTCCTTTTTATGGAGAGGATTTACTCGTTGGCTCCTTTTTATTCTCGGGAGTACTTCTGTGTTGACGAGATCTCCACCAGGCGGCCATGGCTCACTCCCTACCAGGCTACCAGGACCCCCCTCTCTAGGCTACCAGGACCCCCCTCTCTCTACTGGGCTGCCAGGAACCCCCCTCCCTACCAGGCTACCAGGAACCCCCCTCTCTACCAGGCTGGGACCCCCTCTCTCTACTACGCTGCCAGGACCCTCCCCTCCCCTACCAGGCTACCAGGACCCCTTTCTACTAGGCTGCCAGGACACCCCTCTCTCTACTAGGCTGCCAGGACCCCCTCTCCACTAGGCTGCCAGAGCCCCCTCTCTCTACTAGGCTGCCAGGACCCCCCTCTCTCTACTAGGCTGCCAGGACCCCCCTTTTACTAGGATACCAGGTCCCCCTCTCCATTGGCTATACTAGCTCCCACCCCCACCTGTCCATAAGCGGCCAGGGCTCCCTTCTACACGCCCTTCCTTCCCTACCTAACAGTTACCATAGCAACCTTTCATCCTCGGCACGAGGAAGTCACTGGTCCTGTTCCTGCCTTTATATGTTCCCTCACTCGCCTCTCTCCCCCTTCACCCGAGTATACCAAATTGCTGCCCGTCCCTCCGTCCGTCCGTGGCATATATGTTGGTTTCCGCTCAATAACTTCCCGGAGACTGAATGGATTGACTGCATTTTTGGTGTGAAGGTGTGTTGTGGCAGGTTATACCACCCATTACCACCTACCTCTCTACCATCACACCACCATCACCCTCTACCACCCACTACCACCAACCACCCACTTACACCCCCACCTCTACCACCCACCACCATCACCCTCTACCACCCACATTCCACCACCCACCCTCTCCATCCACCATCACCCTCACCCCACTACCACCAACCACCCCCCCACCACCCTCTACCACCCACACCATCACCCTCTACCACCCATCACCATCACCCCTCCACCACCCTCTACCACCCAGGACACAGTACCAGGCTGTATGTGTGTGTATCTGCCACTCCACTTGCCCATCAACACTGTTTTATGTAAGCCAGGGATGAAGGGCGAAGGAGGAGACTATCTGCTGTTGTGTTGACTGAGACATTTTCCTTATTGTTGGAAGAAACATCAGGACTAGGACGTGGGTGGTGAGGAGAGTGAGGTGTGAGAGTGAGGGGTGGTGAAGGAGTGAGGTGAGTGTGAAAGGGTGGTGTGAGAGGGTGAGGTGGTGTGAGAGGGTGGTGGTGTGGTGGTGAGGGTGGTGTGAAGGAGTGAGGTGGGTGTGAGGTGAGGTGATGTGGAGGTGAGGTGGTGTGAGGTCAGGGTGGTGTGAGAGGGTCAGGGGTGATGTGGGGAGGTAGGGGTGTGAGAGGTGAGGTGGTGTGAGAGTGAGGTGGTGTGGAGGGGTGAGGGGTGGGTGTGTGAGGTCAGGGCGGAGAGGATCAGGCGTGGTGTGAGAGGGCCAGGGGTGGTGTGTGAGGGGATCATGGGGTGGTGTGGAGGACGATGGGTGGGAGAGAGGTCGGAGGTAGTGTGAGGAGGGTCCAAGGGTGTGGAGGTGGATGGAGAGAGTGAGGGAAGTCCTGCGAGTGAAAGTGGTTGAGGAGTGGGCGTGAGAGGTTGGTGGGAAGTGGGATAAAGGAGACTCGGAGATATTTAAAATGGGATCTCTTTGTCCTATTGTTATTATTCATTCCGTGTGTGTATTAGTGTAGTAAATAGGGGAGGGGGTGGTGAGGGAAGGGAGGGGGTGGGAGGGGGTGGGTGGTAGGGCAGTGTAGCAGCTGAAGGTAAATGTGTTGTGTGTGCGGGGGTTTGTATGTGAGGATGTTTGTTTGTGTGTTTGTGTGTGGGGTGTTTGTGTGTGGGGGATGTTTGTGTGTGGGGGTGTTTGTGTGTGGGGGGTTTTGTGTGGGGTGTTTTTGTGGGGTGTTTGTGTGTGGGAATGTTTGTGTGTGTGGGGGGGTGTTGTGTGTGGGGTGTTTGTGTGTGGGGTGTTTGTGTGTGGGGGTGTTTGTGTGTGGGGATGTTTGTGTGTGGGGATGTTTGTGTGTGGGTGTGTTTGT